CTCTTCAACGCCTAATTCATCTTCTATCTCCTCCTCGTCAACCTGCTCATCCTCGAATTCGACTTGCTCCTCCTGTGTCAGTCCGACCACTCTGTAAGCTGGTTCCCGTAAAGTATTACCAGCGGAGACATGATACCTTGGCCGCCCGCTTGCTCCTCGACCCCTTCCTCGGCCTCGTCTGCGTCTTTGGCGGTGAGCTTGTAAATGTCTCGACCCGGTACGACAGACAGGGATGACTGTGTCCTCGCCCTCAGCGTCTGCAACGGCCGAGTCTGCGTGACCGAGACTACGATGCGTCAAGCCAAGCCAAGATGCTCTGTCATCTTCAGGGCTGCATGATTCCATCGGCACTGCATTAGCATCACTTCCAACACATGAGTTAGCACAAGAGCTAGGGATAAAACTTCGACTCAAGGTACCGATACCACTACTTGAAACCTCGGGTTGTATACCAGTAGACAAACCAAGTCGGCCGATACGCCGACGCCGGAAACGATCAGTCTTAGAGAGGTATGTGCCGCTTGTGCCACCACTGGAAGGCCAATAAATGCTCCCTCTGGAAGCTGCAGCAGCCTGTGCCAAATAAACAGCCTCTTCATCAGTAGATTCGCTTTGGCTGTCGGCAAGATTTTGACTAGGGCAAATACACTTACGCCCTCGCCTGGTGATAAAAGAAAGATGAGACAAGTTATATAAATCATGACTTTGAAAGATTGGATTTCGATGGTACTCATATTTCTCCCAAAAAAATGAATCGAAAGGCAGCCTTCAATCTGGGCATGATGAAGGTAATGAGTGCTAACCTATCAGGCTAATGCCCAAAACAGGGCAGCATCCATAACCAAACTTAACTGAAAGATGACAAAAAGGCCTTATATAAATACCAAAATAGGGGAACAAGAATCTCTGATGCAATTAGGTTATTTTATTATAATAGATGCGGCTATTAATATGGGAATTTCAGTTGTGGTAGTATGAAAAAACATATCTGAATATATTCAGAATGAAATCTTTTGGAGCTCCAAGCAAATAGATTCTATAGAGAAAAGCTGAGTAGAAAAAAGGCTTAATCGAAGACATCGTCGTCACAGCTGGATAGTATGAACCGAACAAACTCTTTGAAAGCTCATGGATATGAGAATATGAGAATGGAGAACCAAAGATTGTAAGCACGTTTATATCCGTTTAGAATTATTTCTGTTGAGTAGATGTACAAGTAAACCTAGGCTAGAGATAATAAAGAATGGGAACAATTTAGGAGTTGACCTCGTTTTCACAACTTAGTTTTGTTGTCAAAGTGACTTAGTTAAACGCATCTTGTCCGAAGCCCTCTGCCATAGTAATTATAATAATTCCCAGCATCAGATCGTGGACTTGGTACATTCTCGGACGTTAACGAGGGCCACACCATCTTGGCCTTAATGGCTTATATTAAGCTACGGTGCAAGACAACAATGAATATATCAGGAAAAAGAAGATAATTGTAGGTCAATCGTGTCATCTTACCTTTTGAAACGGTTGTAAACGTTATGGTATCACTTCTGATTTCTGCGACCTTAAGATACCCTACCATTCTAATAAGGTTGAGTTCCTCCATAAGGCCTATATTCAGAAGTTAAGTTAAACTTATGATATGGGGAGGGATAAGCTATGTGAGTTTATAGATATTAAGTTAAAGCTCCGACATAATCTGGCCAAGATCCTGACTTTGGAAGACTTTCAAAAACTCCAGAGCATGACCGACAGGAAATCACGTAGGATCTCTAAAGTAATAAAAAAACGACATGACACGACGATAAATTGCGTAAGTTTGGGATAAGAGAGTTTAGATTAAACACAATGTGCCCAGTTGAAGTTATTTCCGAGGTGACAATACTTATTGATCAGCACGACGATCGAAAGAAAGTAGTGAATTTATCATCATTTCCTTTTGAACCCGAAACCACGACGATCTTGAAAAAATGACTCAACTTTTCGCTTTAAAATGACAGAAGCCATTCTGTTAGAGGGTATCAATATCACATATAAATTCCCGGAGAAGACA